TTAAAAGTCTGATTAATTACTGGTCTTGTTGTAAGATTATTTCCCAGCGGAATTCCTAGTATTGGAGGGGGTCTAGACATCTACAAAATAAGAAATACTTTAATTATTTTAATTTATCTTCTAATAATTGACTAAGAATATTTGCAGCTTTATTATTACTACCTTTAATGTGCTTAATTTCTATAATTAAATAATATTATTGATTCTATCTAAAAAATATAACTAACGTCTACGACTACTTATTTTGTTTTCTTCTTTCATTTATTGTAGAAAGAGACAATCACTTCATAGTCTGTTCTAATAGTAAAATCTTTTTTCGATATTATAAAAAACTCAAAACTATCTAGAGCATAATTTATGACTAACAATTCTGTATCTATACTACTAATATTACCCTTCTTTTTATAAATGTCGTTGATATAACAATAGATTTTTTTTCAGAAGTTTGGTCTGCATATTTATGAGGTTTACATAAAAGAATCGCTCCCTAACCTTTATTACAACCATCAATCTCAATTATCAAATAATATGTATCAAGAGGTAAAGCAAGCTCGGGAAAAATATTTTTGCCCATTTGGAGAGGTTTTTGCATGTAAAAGACCAGCAATTTTCCCTAGATTTTTTATAAAAGATCTAGCATACTTTATCAATCCTAAACCTTTTGGAACTGCTTTAAATCTTCTAATTAATCTGGAAAATCAAGAGCCTTAAGGTTGCAATATTATTTTTCCTTCTCCAATATTTACTCCCAAAAAGTCTATATATTCACGAAATAATTGCATTTTATTTTTACTCAAAATTAAAACATGTCTTATAAAATTTGAAAAACCAATTTGCAAATGGCCTTTACGGTCTTTTTTATTTTTACTGAAAACCCAAATATCATCTATATAAAAAGCCACAAAATTGCTACGTTTATTAAAAATGTCTTATTTTTCTTTGAAAAATACTTGGGGCATTCTTAAGCCCAAAAGACATGACTAACCATTCAAAATGACCTACTGGATAAGTAAAAGCAGTCCATTTTATATTGTCTTGATGAATTTTGACTTGGCAAAATCCTGATTTCAAATCAAATTTACTAAAAAAATTATAATTTTGAATCTTGTTTATTGAAATAGTCTTATCATGAATATTATATGCATCATCAATTGTATTATCATTTAATATTTTATAATTTATGATCATGCAACTTTTTCCTCTAACTATTTTAGAATAATTTTTAACAATAATTTATGACCATACGAACTTTTTCCTCTAACTATTTTTAATAAGGAAATAAAATAATGCAAATAAAAAAAAACACAAATATTAAAAATACAAACAGATAAGGAACGAATATTTGATTAAACAACACCAAGAGCAAAACATTAAAAATTCAAACTTTTAATTTCTTGAAAAAAACAAGACAAGAAATATGATTTAGAAAAACAAATTCACTAACAAACAAACAAACACAATAATAATTATATAACACAAAAACAAATAAACACAATAATTAATCTTAACTAGACGGAAAGAAAAAACCAATTAAAAACACTTAAGTAGGCAGAATAAGAAAGATAATAAGAAAGCTTATCGAGACGTGACCCGTTGGAAGAACCTTAAGATGCTTGCATTTTTTCTTGAGTTTAGAGCATGATGCTCCATAAGTCTGAAGAGTATACATATCTCTACAAAACTTATAGTCAGTCTTTTTAAGCTGTTTTTGAATCTAGGGTCAACTTATTTTTCTTCTAGTGCTCTAGTAATAAACTGCTCTTTGATCTGTTAACCACAAATAATTTGGACTTTGTTTAATAGAAGGCAAATTATTACATTTATCATGAATCTCTAGTCCTAATATATGTAAATTTTTCAATATTAAGCTATATATGTGAGGTAAGTATATTAAGGTCTGGGTGCACCTACATAATTGACATCGAAGTCCATTTATTTACTGCCATATCATCACGTTTTTGTGTCGTTCAATCAAACTAAAAGTTCAATAAGAAGACTAATTAGCTCTCTCTCTCTCTCTCTCTATATATATATATATAGAGAGAGAGAGAGAGAGAGAGAAAAGAGAAGAGAAGAGAAGAGAAGAGAAGAGGGTATGCATGATATGGTGTTAACGAGAAAAAGGGCGCGTTAGAGAAAAAGTGAAGGAGGGTTGATGGGTTTCCGTTTACAGTGAGTAATAATGAAGGGCTTTTATGGAAGTTCATAAATGGAAACAAGGAAGTCGAGTCCTTGAAGAAACCTCCATTTTTGGATCCAACTTTTTGTCTTCAGATTTTGCAAAATACTCATTAGATTCTCACTCGTACTTTCTTCTTCTTTTTCCTTTACACACTCTCTCTCTCTCTCTCTATATATATATATATATATACATATATATATATATATGCATATATACATACAGTGGAGGTTTAGGAAAAAACTAATGAAAATAAAAAATCAGGGAATACCTTGAAAACCATTTATTTGTATGGTATGTAAATATATATACAAGTAATTGAAGTTGCTTCTTGATTTTTATGCGAGTATAAATGTTATACACATATAAATAACAGACAAATTGCTTACAAAATTACTTATATGATACATACCATCCAAATTAACGTTACTTAATTTTTTATTTTTTTGAAATTTTTATCTGAATCTGACTTTATTAATATATATACCTATATATCTCTCTCCTTTGACATTTTGTTGCTTTCCATGTTTTCTCTCTTTAACCTCTTGGGCATATATAATCTCCTTTCTGTCTTTTCTCCCATATACTCATCGTAATTAATATCATAGTTAAATAATATCGAATATAGTCTCCTTTCTGTCTTTTCTCCCGTATACTCATCTTAATATATATTTTAAATAAATGAATATTAAATACTAATTAAAACTTTATTTTTTTATCTAAATGTATTTGAATATCTATAAATATTTATCATTTTCTTAGTTTTTTTTATCTAAATATATTTGAGTATATCATGGTTTATCTTGTAAATAAACTACAATAATTACAAGACAATAGTTAAAAATTATAATAACAAAAGTCATAATAATTAAAAATGAAAATAATGAGTGCTACATTGATAAAAAAATTCATAAAAACTGAAAAGTATAATAAATATATTAATAATAATAAATATCAAATGAAATTAAACTATCAATATTATTATAAATATATTCTACCCATCAATAATTTAAATATTACTATTTAATATATGTGGAAGAGTTGGCAGCTCTAAGAAGATCTAAAGTCATGGCCTCTTTTCAACTCATTTTCCTTTCTCTAAATGATCCATTAATATTTCAACTAACTCTTGATCTAGTAATTAACCTTCAAACTAACTCTTGCTTTCAGTTCATTTCCTTATTGGAATATGAAATGTGGGATTTGTTTAGAGTCTCCCGACTTTAGTTATCCTTGTGATGCTCGTTAGGAAAAGCCTCATGGTATCGTATTTGGATGCTCTATGACACTAGATCGACGTTCTTGGCCATGTTCGTCAACTTGTTTTTTAGGTGCGTGCAAGATAAGGGATCTAACCATTTAAGAAGAGTCGTCATTTTTATTTCTAATTTATTCATGTGTACATCTTTTTTTAGATCTTTTATTGTCTATTAAATATATTTAGCTATTGGATTCTTAGCAGTTAGATACTTAGATTTAAACAATTTTTTCTTCACATACACACACACACATACATACATACATACATACATACATACATACATACATACATACATACATACATACATACATACATACATACATACATATATATATATATATATGAGATTTCAAATATCAACCATGTAATTTTTACAAATAACACAAACCAATTTTAACTGTACATCTAGTATAATAAATATTTGGTTCCATAAATACTTTGATTCTAATATAAAGTCATGATCATATATAATGAATGAAGCTTACCATTTTTTATGAATTTCTCAATCATAATGAATAAATCATGATCATTGTCCACAAATACCTAGATTGTTTCATGATATAAATGTTAATTATGGTTTGTAAGAATAACATAGTTTTTATTTTAAACCTAGCTCCTCTATCTCTCTCTCTCTCTCTCTCTCTCTATATATACATATATATTCGATCTCTGCTCAAGGCTTATTTTGAATAGTAATCTAATGAGGATTCCACACACATATATAAATATATATATATATATATATTATATGATATCAGAGGCAAGATCTACCTCTTTAATGAATGAACACTTTGGGACAATCTATACTCGTCAAGCCTCTGTTAAAGGGGATGTATTTAAATCCTACATTAATTAGTCTTGGACTATTTTTCTTACACATATGTTAGAACCTTCTTTCCCCTTAATATTATTTTTGGAAAGTAATTTCTGAATTAAATAATTAAGACAATAATGGTTTTAGAACTTAAGTGAGCTTAAAACCCCCACAAAATAAGTTCCCAACGGAACCAATTTATCCCAAGTCTTCTTACATTTAATTGTGTAACTACATATATTGTCTAGGGCCAATGTGTGTTTACTGTCAATGTTCTAATCAGTTCTCCTTCTTCACCTGTACCTGTGTAGTAGTTGTCCTTTCTTCCTCGGCCATTGACATGAAAACACTGAATTGATAGATGCATCCATCCCCATCTGACACCCCTTTTACCATCTTCGATTCTCACTTCCACTCCTGTATCTTTACTTCTGTCCAGGTGGTCCTATTCCCTATATATATATATATATATATATATATATATATATATATATATATATGCACATGCATACATACTTGCATCAAAGAAGCCAATGGAAACAAGAAGCAACCCCTTTTAAGTTTTTCAATTCTTTCTTCAATAATCCTTCCCTATCACTACCACTACCACTTCTCTTTATATAATCTCCACTGAAATTGAGACCACCCAACACTTGAAAGCTTGGAGAACACACTCTTTCCTTCCCTTTAGAACAACCTTAACTTTCCCAATCCATTAATTGCCACCAAAAACCTTAACTTTTCCTATGGAAGCTTTTGTTGATCATACCCATTATGTCACCACCTTTCCATTTTCTTATCCTTTCGCCACCACAACCACTAATCCTCCGTGGATGGACTGCAGGATATGGAGCAGACTCCCACAAAGGCTTATTGATCGAGTTATTGCCTTCTTACCACCTCCTGCCTTCTTCAGAGCTCGATCTGTATGCAAGCGATGGTACTCCCTCTTATTCTCTCATAGCTTCCTGCAAATGTATCTCCAGATCAACCCGAAACCCTACTTTTTCATCTTCTTCAAGCAAAAAACCACTCATCCTAAAACAACCACCACTACCACCACCACCACCACCACTATCTTTAAGCCAACTATCACCACTGCTGCTGCTGATGACGTTGTCCCCAAGGAAGGTTATGTCTTTGATCCCGAAACTCTCTCATGGCACCGTCTCGTCTTTCCATTAATCCCACCAGGGTTTTCTCCCACTTGTTCCTCCGGTGGACTCATCTGTTGGGGATCTGATGAAGCGGGTTCCAAGGGTCTGATACTCTCAAACCCTCTCTTCGCATCTCAGGTAACTCCACTTCCGTCCACCCTGAGACCGAGGCTGTTTCCTTCTGTAGGGTTAGCCATCACAAACTCTTCCATAGATGTTATGGTAGCTGGGGACGACTTGATATCTCCTTACGCCGTAAAGAACTTGACTACTGAAAGCTTTCATATAGACGTGGGTGGGTTTTATTCCATTTGGGGCACCACTTCTTCTCTCCCAAGGCTTTGTAGCCTGGAATCTGGCAGGATGGTGTACGTGCAGCAACAAGGAGGTTCAACAAGTAAATTCTACTGCATGAATTATAGTCCTTTCAGTGTGTTGGGATATGATATGGCAAGAAACGAGTGGTGCAAGATCCAGGCGCCGATGAGGAGGTTTTTGAGGTCTCCGAGTCTGGTGGAGAGCAGAGGGAAGCTGGTGCTGATAGCAGCTGTGGAGAAAAGCAAGCTGAATGTGCCGAGGAGTCTGAGGATGTGGCGATTGCAAAGCTGCGGGACTACATGGGTCGAGATAGAGAGGATGCCACAACAGCTGTATGCACAGTTTTCGGAGGTGGAAGGAGGGAGAGGGTTCACATGTGTTGGAAATGGGGAGTTTGTGGCGGTGATGATTATGGGGACGGCAGCCGAGAAGGCGTTGCTGTTCGATTTTGGGAGGAAGAGGTGGGTTTGGATTCCTCCATGTCCTTATGTCCCCGGTCATGGTTGCCGTGGTGGTGGCGGTGACGGTGACGGTGGCGGTGACGGTGGCGGTGACGGTGGCGGTGACGGTGGCGCAGTTGAATTGAATGGTTTTGCGTACGAGCCTAGACTTGCTACACCGGTGACTGGACTTCTTGATCAGCTGACTAGCCTTAATCCCTTTTAGGTTTTTCATTAACAAGCGTACGCAGCGAGCAGCTACATTGTTTAATTATGTGAAACCAATCTAGATGAATCAACAATTAACTGTTCCAAAAAACCAGTGTAACGTCGATCCTTAGTTTCTTTTCAAAAAACCATGAATATAAATCGAATTAACGATTCCCAAATTCTATGTCAATGGCCATTTGAATATGGGAAAAAATTTTAAATGATGACACCATTTGACTAAGAAAACGACATTAATAGTATTCGAATTCGGGTCTAGATGGAAAAAAACACTTATAAACCAACTCTATAAAAAAAAAAACTTGTTCACGTCGGAGTTTTAAAATCAAACAGGTGGCACACAAGAACAAACTTGTTCACCAAGAGTGAATGCAAACTTGTTCATCTTGGGGAATTGGATCATATCATATATGGTACTGTTCTGTGTTGTCATGAGTTTGTTCTGGATAGGCGATGTGATTGTTGGAATGGAACATATAAGTGGAGGCAGTGGGAGCAGCAAATGGACTATTTGGCACCATTTCAGTTGCAGGTTTGAAGGTATGGGAAACACATAGGGGCTGTTTAGCACCATTTCAGTTGCAGGTTTGAAGGTATAAGGAACACATAGAGACTGTTTGGCGGTTGCTGAATTGTTAGGTGTAGAATGCAAAACACACATGGTATACTTGAGAAATTTTAGAGCGAAAATGCGATAGAAAGTTTCTTTTTTATTTAATTTATAAAGAGGACGGTGAAAAAGTTGTCATATGAAAGTAAACGTCTCTATTGGTTGTGAGACCTGAATCATTTTCCCACGTTTCATGATGTTCAGTTGGTAAATATAGAATTTGATATCGAGGATTTGAAGTCTATATAAAGACTAAAATACCCTGGATTTGAAGTCTATATAAAAACAAAAATACCCTTTCATATTGTTTTCACTTTCTTTTCATTATTATTTTCTTTTTTGGTGGCATTGATTTTGGTTTAGGACATATGTGCATTTCTTTCTTGTGACACTTCAAAATAAGTTAAACAATTATTTATAAAAACAAATGGTGGAAATATGGAAAATAAAATAAAATGAGTTATTTTATTGGAGCCAAAATAGAAATGAGTTGAGAGGGATCAATTTTATCATTTAATTAACGTTATATATGAATAAGTGAGTTTAAAAGTTCATTTGGACCAAAAATGTTAATGTTTATCTTTCCTTGGCGCTTTTATGATGACTCACCTTTACACTTACTTATTTATATTATATTTATGTTATATGCATATTAGCCCCTAAATCCTTTCAACGATCTCTAAATGTTCACTCAATATTGAACATTGTCGGTCCTTAGTGACTCTCAATCAAATCTCAGACTTAAAATGAAGATCTTCATGATATGTCCAAGGTGTAGCTGAATATAACGATAGGAAGAGTTGAAGCGCTTTTAGAAGATCTGCCAATCTAATTAAAGTGAGCAATTATCGGCGAAAAGCTAAATAAGAGCTAAAGATTCCTTTAATGTTCCCTTCTCCTAGTTGAATCAAAATCTTGCAGATCAAGTCTTTGCCCCCTATCTCTCTTTATTGCAGAAGTCAAAACCATGCAACTACATGACAAAGGTACAATACGAGTTATGCTTTGTCGTCTCCTTTCATGCATAGCCACTATCCTAGTACACTATTCACTGGCGGTCAACTTTGTCCAGAAAAAGGGCAAGCAGATCGTCCTTCAATCTCTCTTTGTGACGCATGGCATGTACCTGATGCAGCGCATTATATGCAAATATTAGGGAATACCACCTTCTCCGGCGTGCCTTCAAGAGAGAAACTATTATATGTGTTATTTCACAAGAGACAACTATGTGAACAATGTGGCTTTGCTAATAATTCTTTGTGTTATCCCAAGTAGTAAAGTATAGTTATTTTAGATTAGGTTTTTACTTATCTTCTTCCACCAAACAATTTGTAAATTCATTGATTGATTGTTATATATAATCAATAAGGGTTTAAAACCTAACATATATGTATGTATTCAACCGCTTCTACAAACCAAACAACCTTCTTATCTCCTTCGGGGCCAACAAGTGGTATCAGAGTGATATTTGTTTCTCCCTTCTCTTTCAAACAAGATCTTATAATGGATGCCAACAACTACGATGACAACAATTTTCAGAGAAAACTTCTCTGTCTGGAAAAATCTGATGTATCTTTTTCTTGGAGGTGCTGACCCTCAAATCCCACACTTTACTGAAGATGGACTCTTTGTTCCATTCTTCATCATTGAAGTTGTTACAACCGTTGAGATTCACCCTGGAACCCCACAACATGTGGTGGCAAAACAAGTGCATCAATGGTCTGAAGAAGATATAAAGAAAGTGTCCTTGATAATGTCTTTCATTCAGTCATGAACATGAAGACGACCAAGGAAATATGGGAAGCTCTTTGTGTATAGTACGAAAGCACTTTTGAGGATCAGGAGTTGAGAAAGATCAATGTGGTAAGACAAGATGAGATATTAATATGTGGTAAGAAAGAATCTATTGTCAAAGACCTTCCAGCCTAGTGGTAAAGGCTTGGGCATAGCATAGTCATGAACCCGAGTTCGAGCCCTGGGAGGGGAGTGTTGGCGACATTTAAGTGGGGCCATGTTTAGCCTCCAAAATTGCCGGGGATTAGTCGGGCTTTGGCCCGGACACCCTTACAAAAAAAAAATCTATTTCTGACATGTTCGGTCCATTCTTTATCTCATCCAATCAAATTTAAGGGACATGGCAATGTCATCATACCCTCCTTTTCCCAAACCGTCATCCTATTCATTTTTCTGTCCTCCAACCACTATAAATACTAATCTCCCTCCCTTATTTCCTTTTTATGCTTTCAACTTCTCTATTGAACCTCTACTTAAATTCTCTCCTCCAACCACTATAAATACCAATTTTGATGTTATCAGTATTCAAAAGTCGGGTACTGAGAGCAACTCAATGAAGAACCTTGAAACATTTGTTCAGGGGGAGTAATGAAGGGGGCCCTTAGATAAGGGCAAAGGTAAATTTCGGGAAAATATGGACCCCGAGGATACTACTGAGGGGGAGTCTAATAACATTCCCCTCTCTGGATCTTTACCATCCTTGCAGGACATAGCCATCAGGGACGGACCCAGAAAGTTTTTCAAACGGTTGCACCATTTGACTATAAGAAAAAACTATAGGGAAAAAAATTCAAATGGTGGCACCGTGTGACTATAAGAAACAAATAAATGAAATTTTTTCCAATCGGTGGCACTATTTGACTAAGAAAATGACACTAACACGATTCGAACTTGGGTCTAGGGTGGAATAAAAGTCTCTCAAACCAACTCTACCAAATAAAACTTGTTCTCATTGGAGTTTCAAAATACATATGGTGGCACACAACAGATTAATACGTTTTCACCTTTCACGAACCTAGATTTTTTTACCCTTTGATGGAGGAATAATACGGTGGCACGTGCCACCGTAACCACCAAAGTAGGTCCGTCCTTGATGGCCATCATCCCCGCTTGTAACACCCCATTCTTCACATTTGTATATAACATATATTTCATATAAAAGAAACATAGATTACACTACATAGGTCCCACTAGTACAAGGATTCTATATGTACAAATTTTACATATGAAAAATTCCAAAATAAAATCCATGCACTGACACATGTATAACAACATGTATCTTCAAAATATGTAATCATCAGGTTGATCTTCATAAGCAGATAACATATAAGGGTATAATTACATTTTCCCCTTCCCCTTATTATCCCTTGACCCTGCAGTTCCTGCAATGCACATTTTTGAAGCACAAAATGAAGGTTACACCAGAATGTCTAGTGAGTAAATCCCTTCTTTGCAAATGCACGGTGAAGATCACCAAAATCTGATAAAACATCTTCTATGCAAAAATAAATGCATTTTGGCAAAAACATGTAATCTGATGGGATAATCAAAATATAAGGCCAACAGATTGCTACAACACATAACCCAAATGCATCCTTTTAAAACCCAGAATTCGACTTAGAATTTAATATAGAATTCTAACTCGACGGGGAGGAGCTCCTTTGGTTCAACAGGCCAAAGTTCCTCTGCTCTTACCAACCAGAGCCTCTGCTGTGTCTAAATGATAAAATACTCAACCTGAGATCTTCTGGTTCATTAGTGATTCTTATTTAGAAGAATCTATCATAGTTTTAAGAGATGTATAAAGTAGAATCAGAGCTTTTCTGACTCTTAATTTTGTTTATAAATATTTTTGAAGAAAAGATAAATTTAAGTGACAAAATTATGGTACAGAACTCAGATATAGAACTCGGGTACTGAACCTTAAATAATAAGAAATAATTAAGTTCAAGATACAGAGCTTCTGGTTTATAAAATTCCCAAAATAATTGTTAGTCTTTCCACATGACCAGAGGTCCTCTGGTTCTTTTTAAAAGACCAACCAAATCCCCTTTGTATCATTCTCATATATGTTTAAAACTTTGATTGAAAATTTTAAGCAATCAAAACCTCTGATGACAAACTATTTTCCCCTTTTTAATAACATCTAAATTATTATTTGAGAGAAAAATGCCTCTAATTCATCAAGTCACAAAGAAATATTGATTTATAATTATTGTATCTGATTAGTGATAATAACAAGAGTTATATTAATACCTACACCTGAAATTGCCACCCTTATAACCATAAGTACACCACTCCTTGATATGCCACCTTTATTTATTCTTTAAAACATGGTTACTTGCCAGAACAGAAAAATATCACCACGTTTGGAAGTACCCAACACCCAGTTCCAAGCCAAAGCAGACAAATGTCACCTCGTCTGGGGGAACTACATCTTAAAACAAAGTTTCATTCCAGAACAGACTTATGTCACCACGTCCGGAAGAAACATTTCTCAAAACATGGTTTCTAACCATAATAGACTTATGTCACCACGTCTGGGAGAAACCTTCCGCAAAAATATTATTTCTAACCAGAACAGACTTACGTCA